TGTAAGGATCATATTATCGACACGGTAAGAGGCTAATTAGCAGGTTTACTAACCGCCATCAATAATCTAACGTCTCGTTAAAATATTTCGGAACTTGTTAAGTTACTTTCTGTCGCTTCCAAACATAATCATAGCATGTTTTGATGATTTTTTTCTCATTTCAGACGACAGTTTAGAACGAGCAGTGGCCTGTTAACATGACATCATGCCCTTTTAATAGCTGCACAGAGATTCCTTAGGACATTGTTCGAGAATATCACAGCTTAGTGTACGGTAGTTCAGCAGGATGACAGGAAGGCAATCAGCGAGGCATATCTTTATCGAGTAGGTTATAGGTATTTCACGGTACGTTGTGAACAGACAAAACTCTTACTAAATCATGGAAAGCAACGATACAAGATAACATATTGAGAGAGTGTAGATTTGATTGCACTGTTAAACGTAAGACACCTGTTATCATATCAATCACACTGTCGTGTATGTAGTGTAAACCCGCAAACCCGAAAAAACAAGATTAACAATCAGGAGCTGTAAAATCTACGTTTTGTATAAATTAAAATTTATTTAGATATTATTGTATTAAATGTTCTTTTTTATGTTAATTTTTTTAATTTTGTGTTATTTTCATATAACGTTTTCCACTGAACTACGTGGGAGGTACGGGTCTGTTGATTTAATGCACGTGAAAGTTTAATTCGCTTTATAATTGAATACAAGAAATTCTGAAAAAAATGTAACGCTCAGAAAACCTTGAGTGATACAGTATCGTATGATACATGTAGTTACCATGTAACTTAAACCTTCGTGTCATCAAAGGAGAAAGACATGGTATTCGGAAACTGACTAACAAGACTAATTGTCGCTGTTCTTCGTACTGAAGATGACATTCACATTGACAAATCTCAAGGTCATTTGTTACACGTTCTCATAACTTATATGTAATTGCAGTTGAAAGATGGACTGTAAAAGGTGTTAGTAACGAACTTGTTGAATAATTCAATAACTATTTTTCACCCAATACCGTATCGTCAATCGGCAAGATATCATGCTTGAATGGGTACTCGTTAAAACATGTCAGCTAACATCACAATACAAATTAATAAACTCACCACAATGGGCACAATAAAAAAAAACACCGTCAACCAACATTACAGTGGACATAGTCAAAACAGCTTCAAACAATATCACAATGGACATAGTCAGACATCGTCAGCCAACATCACAATGGACATAGTCAAAACACCTTCAACCAACATCACAATGGACATAGTCAAAACATCTTCAACCAACATCACAATGGGCATAGTCAAAACATCTTCAATCAACATCACAATGGACACAGTCAAAACACCGTCAACCAACATCACAATGGACACAGTCAGACTTGTCAGCCAACATCACAATGGACATAGTCAAAACATCTTCAACCAGCATCACAATGGACATAGTCAAAACATCTTCAACCAACATCACAATAGGCATAGGCAAAACATCTTCAACCAACATCACAATAGGCATAGGCAAAACATCTTCAACCAACATCACAATGGACATAGTCAAAACATCTTCAACCAACATCACAATGGACATAGTCAGACATCGTCAGCCAACATCACAATGGGCATAGTCAAAACATCTTCAACCAACATCACAATGGGCATAGTCAAAACATCTTCAACCAACATCACAATAGGCATAGAACCATCCCAACCAACATCACAAACTGGGCATACAAAACATCTCCAACCAACATCACAAACTGACCATACAACCTACCCCAACCAACATCACAAACTGACCATACAACCTACCACAACCAACATCACAAACTGACCATACAACCTACCCCAACCAACATCACAAACTGACGATACAACCTACCCCAACCAACATCACAAACTGACGATACAACCCACCCAACCAACATCACAAACTGACGATACAACCTACCCCAACCAACATCACAAACTGACGATACAACCTACCCCAACCAACATCACAAACTGACGATACAACCTACCCCAACCAACATCACAAACTGACGATACAACCCACCCCAACCAACATCACAAACTGACGATACAACCTACCCCAACCAACATCACAAACTGACGATACAACCTACCCCAACCAACATCACAAACTGACGATACAACCTACCCCAACCAACATCACAAACTGACCATACAACCTACCACAACCAACACCACAAACTGACCATACAACCTATCCCAACCAACATCACAAACTGACCATACAACCTATCCCAACCAACATCACAAACTGACCATACAACCTACCACAACCAACATCACAAACTGACCATACAACCTACCCCAACCAACATCACAAACTGACGATACAACCTACCCCAACCAACATCACAAACTGACGATACAACCTACCCCAACCAACATCACAAACTGGACATAGTCAGACACCGTCAACCAACATCACAATGGACACAGTCAGACACCGTCAACCAACATCACAATGGACACAGTCAGACACCGTCAACCAACATCACAATGGACATAGTCAAAACACCCCAACCAACATCACAAACTGACGAACATCAGACACAGTCAGACACCGTCAACCAACATCACAATGGACATAGTCAGACACCGTCAACCAACATCACAATGGACATAGTCAGACACCGTCAACCAACATCACAATGGACATAGTCAGACACCGTCAACCAACATCACAATGGACACAGTCAGACACCGTCAACCAACATCACAATGGACACAGTCAGACACCGTCAACCAACATCACAATGGACATAGTCAGACACCGTCAACCAACATCACAATGGACATAGTTAGACATCGTCAACCAACATCACAATGGGCATAGTCAAAACATCTTCAACCAACATCACAATGGACATAGTCAAAACATCTTCAACCAACATTACAATGGACATAGTCAGACATCGTCAACCAACATCACAATGGACATAGTCAAAACATCTTCAACCAACATCACAATGGACATAGTCAAAACATCTTCAACCAACATCACAATGGACATAGTCAGACATCGTCAACCAACATCACAATGGACATAGTCAGACATCGTCAACCAACATCACAATGGGCATAGTCAGACATCGTCAACCAACATCACAATGGGCATAGTGAGACACCGTGAACCAACATCACAATGGACACAGTCAGACACCGTCAGCCAACATCACAATGGACATAGTCAGACACCGTCAACCAACATCACAATGGACATAGTCAGACACCGTCAACCAACATCACAATGGACATAGTCAGACACCGTCAACCAACATCACAATGGGCATAGTCAGACACCGTCAACCAACATCACAATGGGCATAGTCAGACACCGTCAACCAACATCACAATGGGCATAGTCAGACACCGTCAACCAACATCACAATGGACATAGTCAGACATCGTCAACCAACATCACAATGGACATAGTCAGACACCATCAACCAACATCACAATTTACATAGTCAGACACCGTCAGCCAACATCACAATGGACATAGTCAGACACCGTCAACCAACATCACAATGGACACAGTCAAAACATCTTCAACCAGCATCACAATGGACACAGTCAGACACCGTCAGCCAACATCACAATGGACATAGTCAGACACTGTCAACCAACATCACAATGGACACAGTCAAAACATCTTCAACCAGCATCACAATGGACACAGTCAGACACCGTCAGCCAACATCACAATGGACATAGTCAGACACCGTCAACCAACAATACAATGGACATAGTCAGACATCGTCAACCAACATCACAATGGACACAGTCAGACATCGTCAGCCAACATCACAATGGACATAGTCAGACATCGTCAGCCAACATCACAATGGACATAGTCAGACATCGTCAACCAACATCACAATGGACACAGTCAGACATCGTCAGCCAACATCACAATGGACATAGTCAGACATCGTCAGCCAACATCACAATGGACATAGTCAGACATCTTCAACCAGCATCACAATGGACACAGTCAGACACCGTCAGCCAACATCACAATGGACATAGTCAGACACCGTCAACCAACATCACAATGGACACAGTCAAAACATCTTCAACCAGCATCACAATGGACACAGTCAGACACCGTCAGCCAACATCACAATGGACATAGTCAGACACCGTCAACCAACAATACAATGGACATAGTCAGACATCGTCAACCAACATCACAATGGACACAGTCAGACATCGTCAGCCAACATCACAATGGACATAGTCAGACATCGTCAGCCAACATCACAATGGACATAGTCAGACATCGTCAGCCAACATCACAATGGACATAGTCAGACACCGTCAACCAACATCACAATGGACATAGTCAGACATCGTCAAACAAGATCCAAGTTCGTAGTCTGAACATTATCACCGTCATAACAAAGCTCTAACGACACCGTCGAATACAGCATGCATACATATGAAATACACGAGTATTAAGATTCAAATTAAGGAATTAATGTATGACATCTTTACAGATACGGTATATGTGTAATCACCAATATTACAGATATCAATCATACGTTGCCTTGTTATGTAAATATTTCTATCAATAACTATTCAGTAGTGTATTTACAACCTTATTTCTTGTCATTTAAAATCATTTATCTTCTGCCATAGCGGGCTCTAATGTTCATTACGGACTTACATTAGTATGTTATATTATAAGTGTGTGTATATTGCTTGCCAAGGTTCTTAATTTGTTTTCACTGTTAGTTTACCTTATCTATCGACCGTGACTTTATTTAAATACGCCGGTTTCAACAGGTGCTCAAACAGCTAAATGCCAGAGTAATTTTCTGCCCATTTTAATAGGCTATAATATTATTCCCTGTAAATTTATGTGATTGTCAGACTGTAAATAAGCATTGATGATAATTGATAAAAACATCATATAGGCTGAATGACCAAATTGGTTATTCATTTTGATAAATTCATGCAACAAATATGAATGTCCTCGTGGTCACTGAGGGGTTTGTAGCTGTGAGCATCACTGTCACCAACTTTCTAGTGGTGAGCATCCCTGTCAACAACTTTCTAGCGGTGAGCATCCCTGTCAACAACTTTCTAGTGGTGAGCATCCCTGTCAACAACTTTCTAACGGTGAGCATCACTGTCAACAACTTTCTAGTGGTGAGCATCCTTGTCAACAACATTTTAGTGGTGAGCATCCTTGTTAACAACATTTTAGAGGTGAGCATCCTTGTCAACAACTTTCTAGTGGTGAGCATCCTGGTCAACAACATTTTAGTGGTGAGCATCCTTGTCAACAACATTTTAGTGGTGAGCATCCTTGTCAACAACTTTCTAGTGGTGAGCATCCTTGTCAACAACATTTTAGTGGTGAGCATCCTTGTCAACAACATTTTAGTGGTGAGCATCCTTGTCAACAACATTTTAGTGGTGAGCATCCTTGTCAGCAACATTTTAGTGGTGAGCATCCTTGTCAACAACATTTTAGTGGTGAGCATCCCTGTGAAAATGCCCTTTACTTGATGACTTTTCTTTGAAGTCGCTGACCTTCCGATGGGCTGGGAAATTCCTCAAGCCGAAAATAACCTTTCAACTTTTACACCACGCTCTCCTCTACACAGATTTTGACCGTAAAACAAGCAAAACCAACATTATTTGGTCAGAATACATATATCCTTTATTAAGTTTGATTCTGATCTGAAAGCATTTTTTCTTTGGAAAGTGGCTGGTTATCGTAAAAATTGGATTAAGGAATCATTTTGTAAAACTTTAGATTACTTTTAGTTTGAGTTTTGTCACAATTTATTCATAATACACTTACGTATTCCAACGCTCTAACGTGTGCCCCGAGAACAAATGAATAATTCCACCTCTGATAACTACCACCATAATACACTCACACTACTTCGCGTTGCTAAAGCATAATGTTATAATATAAACGCTTAATGGGAGCCTCCTTTTTAAACAAATTTTCCTTTGCCAAATATTTTGGAGCACTGGTGGCGGCAGAGTTTTACTGTTGATTGGTTTGAAAGTTTCATTTCAAATTGCCATTAAATTATTGGAAAAGTTAAAGTATTTGTTCCCCTATCAGACACAAATTATTACTGCTAGGAAAATGACGAAATCAGATTGTTGGATAACGCTTCAACTGGAATACATCGCACTTTATAAGTACTCCCGAATGTGAACAGACATTAAGACTACGTAAGATTTTGTTACTTTCAGATTGTTTTTCTTTCTTTTTTTTAATTCCAGTAAAGATTAGCCCAATACTTAAACCGTTATCACAGACGTCATCAGACCATTAGTGTCTTCGTGGGGATTGGGAAGTGGTTCCCGAAAAGACGTGTTCCAGTGTAATCGTTCGGCAGCGTTCAACTCAGGGTGACAATTGGTTCTTGTGACGGTATATTACAATATTTACGGCCCACATGAGGTGTCCCGCCTTTTAATGTTTTACCTAAGACGAAGAAAATCATGTAATGCAAAAGTGTTCCCTGCGGTCAGTAACGATGACAGATAATGCTGGTAAGATGTGTAATTGGTTGTGTTTCATACAGTAACACTAACGATACCGGCTTAAGTCTCCTAATGTAACGCAATAAAGCAAAAAATTAAACAAGATTAGCTCATAAAACATATCTGACGCTTACTCTGGAATAAATCTCTCAGCTCAGCAATGCGACATCACAATATGCCTTCTACGGCGTCACAATGTGTTGTATCAGGCATCGCAAAGCCAATGACAAGATATTTTGATATTATTACCGTATAGATATATCCGGTTTCTACCTTGTACCTTTGCTGACCTGATATCCGGTTTCTACCCTGTATCTTTGCTGACCTGATATCCAGTCTCTGCCATGTACTGCCATTGACCTAATATCCGGTCTCTATCCTGTACCGTTGCTGACATGATATGTGGCCTCTACCCTGTACCTTTGCTGACCTGATATCCGGTCTCTATCCTGTACCGTTGCTGACCTGATATCTGGTATCTACCGTGTACCGTTGCTGATCTGATATCCGGTCTCTACCATTATCGTTGCCGTCATGTTATCTGGCGTGTACCATGTATAATATATGTCACCGACCAGATATCCTGCCTAAAAGAATACTCATTCATTAAGTGACGGCTGCTGGTATGATAATTTTACATTACTATTCTCCAATACCCTGCTCGTCCTTTGTTGAACAAATCATGTCGTGCAAGAGTGTGAGTTGGATCCAATCTGGATCCATTTCGTCTGTTTAAGTTGATTCCCTCCGAGGTAATTAGTTTTTGCATTTATAAACGTCGATGACTTTTCTGTCTCTTTAATTCATTTGATGTAATTGCCCCATACTGACAACGCCGAAGGTTCATGTGCTTTTCTCTTTTAATAAACCATTCGATAAAGTGCCGAATCGTATTCTGCCATTTATCAACAAGGTAATGCATTACCCAATTATACTTTCTAACGATGCCGACTAAACGCCGTGGCATGTCGGGTCTAATATACAAACCTTTATTGAAAAGTTGCATGTTGAACCGTAATTGAATCTTTGACCCAAAATTACAATGAAATCTAAACATAACGAAATCAAGCTAAATCACATTATTAGTTTTGTCTTAGAAGTCTACTAGTTGACTCTGTGTCCGTAGAGAAATCGTCTGAACTTGAAACCATCATCAAATATGGCAGTTTGACCCATAGTGGATGTGCTTATAGTCTTATAGTGTCCAGTTCGACCGGCCATTAACGGGTGTTATATTCATCAAAGCAGAGTTTGAAACAACATGAAATAGTAAAACCTATGCTAAAGTTTGATCCGCGATAACCGCCTTTACCCTCAATGCAGCTCCAATCCCCATAAACAAGTCTGACATTGTCCATACTGCAGCTTCAAACCCCATAAACAAGTCTGACATTGTCCATACTGCAGCTCCAATCCCCATAAACAAGTCTGACATTGTCCATACTGCAGCTTCAAACCCCATAAACAAGTCTGACATTGTCCATACTGCAGCTTCAATCCACATAAACAAGTCTGACATTGTCCATACTGCAGCTTCAATCCCCATAAACAAGTCTGACATTGTCCATACTGCAGCTTCAATCCCCATAAACTAGTCTGACATTGTCCATACTGCAGCTCCAATCCCCATAAACAAGTCTGACATTGTCCATACTGCAGCTTCAATCCCCATAAACAAGTCTGACATTGTTCATACTGCAGCTTCAATCCCCATAAACAAGTCTGACATTGTCCATACTGCAGCTTCAATCCCCATAAACAAGTCTGACATTGTCCATACTGCAGCTTCAATCCCCATAAACAAGTCTGACATTGTCCATACTGCAGCTCCAATCCCCATAAACAAGTCTGACATTGTACATAGTGCAGCTTAATCTCCATACACAAGTTTGACATCGTCCATACTGCAGCTTCAATCCCCATAAACAAGTCTGACATTGTCCATACTGCAGCTTCAATCCCCATAAACAAGTCTGACATCGTCCATACTGCAGCTTCAATCCCCATAAACAAGTCTGACATTGTCCATACTGCAGCTTCAATCCCCATAAACAAGTCTGACATTGTCCATACTGCAGCTTCAATCCCCATAAACAAGTCTGACATTGTCCATACTGCAGCTTCAATCCCCATAAACAAGTCTGACATTGTCCATACTGCAGCTTCAATCCACATAAACAAGTCTGACATCGTCCATACTGCAGCTTCAATCCCCATAAACTAGTCTGACATTGTCCATACTGCAGCTTCAATCCCCATAAACAAGTCTGACATTGTCCATACTGCAGCTCCAATCCCCATAAACAAGTCTGACATTGTACATAGTGCAGCTTAATCTCCATACACAAGTTTGACATCGTCCATACTGCAGCTTCAATCCCCATAAACAAGTCTGACATTGTCCATACTGCAGCTTCAATCCCCATAAACAAGTCTGACATTGTCCATACTGCAGCTTCAATCCCCATAAACAAGTCTGACATTGTCCATACTGCAGCTTCAATCCCCATAAACAAGTCTGACATTGTCCATACTGCAGCTTCAATCCCCATAAACTAGTCTGACATTGTCCATACTGCAGCTTCAATCCCCATAAACAAGTCTGACATTGTCCATACTGCAGCTTCAATCCCCATAAACAAGTCTGACATTGTCCATACTGCAGCTTCAATCCCCATAAACAAGTCTGACATTGTTCATAGTGCAGCTTCAATCCCCATAAACAAGTCTGACATTGTCCATACTGCAGCTTCAATCCCCATAAACGAGTCTGACATTGTCCATACTGCAGCTTCAATCCCCATAAACAAGTCTGACATTGTCCATACTGCAGCTTCAATCCACATAAACATCTGACATCGTCCATACTGCAGCTTCAATCCCCATAAACTAGTCTGACATTGTCCATACTGCAGCTTCAATCCCCATAAACTAGTCTGACATTGTCCATACTGCAGCTCCAATCCCCATAAACAAGTCTGACATTGTACATAGTGCAGCTTAATCTCCATACACAAGTTTGACATCGTCCATACTGCAGCTTCAATCCCCATAAACAAGTCTGACATTGTCCATACTGCAGCTTCAATCCCCATAAACAAGTCTGACATTGTCCATACTGCAGCTTCAATCCCCATAAACAAGTCTGACATTGTCCATACTGCAGCTTCAATCCCCATAAACAAGTCTGACATTGTCCATACTGCAGCTTCAATCCCCATAAACAAGTCTGACATTGTTCATAGTGCAGCTTCAATCCCCATAAACAAGTCTGACATTGTCCATACTGCAGCTTCAATCCCCATAAACGAGTCTGACATTGTCATAATTTGTCTAAAAATAGTGACTAACAACAGCAGACTACCGTCATAAACAAATCTTATTGTCCATAGTGCAGTTTGAACCGTCATATACAAGTTCAGATTAGTTTAAACAATATTTTATTCAATATAACAACAAAATAAACATTTAGACATATTTTTGTATTTTGGGATAGGAAAACAAGCTACGAGCTCATATTAATTCCTTTTGCAAGTACATACAACGTCAAATGGAACGGCAGGTTTGAGAACATCTTGCACACATCATATTGTGAATAACAACTGAATTCAACAATTCGACCTAATTTATATATGTGGTGTAAAGGATGGTTACATGTATATATTAAGTATATGACGCCGTAATTGATACTTACGACCAAGTTCAAATTACAGGATGCCATGGTATTGAGTGATTTGTATCGAAAATTGGATGTTTCTATAACAAATTCCACACAAATAATTACGTACTACAAAAAATATCAAACTTTGTTAATCAAACGCTTAACTAATTTGATATAATTTTGAACAGTTAAGAAAATATCTTCCTTTTTTGGTTTAGAGTGACTGTCATTTTCCCATAGAAGATTTGCTTCGGTAAGATTTATTTCTAGTTGCAAAATTTGTCTGATTGCGGTATAATTAAAACAAGAAATGAAAACTACTTTTAACGAAACTGCAACA